GTTTTTTCAAGCCATACTGGTGGTCAAGCACAGAAATAGAAATATTGGGGAGTTAGAAGAGTAAAGAATATTAAAAAAATTATAATAAAAAGCACCACAGTTTCAGGACTCCACATTACAGTAACAAATTTCATTAGCATTATTATTTTAATGTGAAATTGTTACTTGATACTATTGGTTTTTCAGGGCTCTGGACTGTGAGGTGATTTTGGTGTTGTGGCCGCTCTGGGTATTGTGATTTCCAGGATCATTACATGACTCTATGGCTCTGAATGTGGACACACACTGCATTCACCAAAAGAAAAGGAAACGGGAGGATCTTATTTTGCATTTGTGACTATTCCATAGGGATGGAACGATGTGCTTTTTTTCTCGATACATTTGATGCACGATATGTTGTGTGTGATTCGATTCAATCATGACACAATTAAAAATTCAATGACAGCAATGTATGACTAGCTTTAGAATACTTGTACTTTATTCTTCTTTTTTTCCTTTTCTAGCACAGATTACATTCTTTAAAGAACAACCAGATATATTGACTTATGTTCATTTAGGCTATTTATTTACAAAAAATATTAAGTCGCTGGTGTAAAATGCCAAAGACGTCCAAGGAGGCTTTTGAAGCTCAGTGAGCAACACCACTGAATGACTAGCAGCCATCTCTATACAAACACTCTCTCTGTTCTGTTGTTTCTACCTAAAGATTAAAATGGATTCCTATTAGTTATGGCTCATCCTTTTCTACTGCTTTTTTTATTTCTCTCATTCCTGTACCTGTACAGCCAATGCTCCACTGATCTGCTTTATAATCTCAGAAAAAGTTTCAAATAACATAAAAGTGAACAAAAATAGTGTTATAATGTCTATTTAAAACAAGTCCATTATAAATAGTTTTGATGGCATGCAGCCAAGATGTGAAGCCTTTAGAAGCCGCAATCAAAAGACTGACAGCATCCAAAATCATCAAAATGGCTCAAGTAGATGCGACAAAGTTGTAAAAGCATACGTAGAAATAAGATCTGATTGTATGAGATAATGAAATGTTCCTTTTGTTTTCTTTCTGTCCAGTTTATTTTTCATATTTCTGTTAGCACTTCTTTCTATTGGTGGCTGCTCTCCAGAGGATGAGAGACTGAGTTACTGCGTGTGGGGTATTGGCGTGGTATTTCATTTAGTGTATTATCTTTGTCATCCTACCTTATCTCTGATGCCTTGCCTCATCATTTCCCTCTCAGCCTCCATCTTGGCATATTTGGCCTTCCTCTCCTCCTCCTGTTGCCTCAGCGCTTCCTGACGCTCCTCCTCTTTCTTTGCTGCATCGGGGTCATCCTCCTTCTCCTCCCCTCCCAGCATTTTGCCCACATCAGGAGGACCCCCTGAGAAAAAGAGACAGACAGAAAGAGATGTAAACAATGACAGCCTCTAGGCTTGAGTTGTCAAGCTATCAGACTGTTCTGTCAGACTCAGTGAATTAAAGAAGTAGCTACAGAGGCTGAAGGCAGACAGACACATAATAAGCAGATAAACAGACTCCTAGCACTGACAAAGATGTGAATATACAAACATCT